CACACTATACTGCTTCCAATTCATCACTATTTTCGGACATTCTTTGTCCCAAAATGTCTTTCTCTCCACCATTATCGAACAACAATTTTTTCTCCAAAAAGATTAACACAAAACTAATAATCAATTAAACGAACCCGAACTTAAAGTCAATTCAATCATCACACCTTCTCCACCACTCATTTGACTTAGATGCACAACGCTTCCCAATTGTGAAGTCCCATAAGATCATGTCGGACCTTAGAAACTTGCAAACTCTACTGCCACCATATGTCTCTCCCTATGTCTCTCCCGTGGACATATCATCAATACCTTCAACCTCTTCTCTTTGCTTCTCAAAATCATCACGGGTCCTCTGTTCCATGATTTCGTGTTTCGTTATCCACAAATCAATAATCTTCAATCTCTCCCATCTTACTCAAGAATAGCCAGCATGTTCTTCTTCTCCTTCATGAAACATACATGCATGATTTAAATTTAATTATAGATAGGTTTAGTCTTGGTTTCTTGTTCCAATCTAGGACAGCAACGTTCGAACAATTGTTGACAATGTGTTATAAAAGGCTTACGCTTACCACATTTCTCCCATGTTACTTTCTTGAATCTTTTCCTTCTAAACCGACCTCCAATAAATGGATAAAAAAAATTCATTCACAAACCAAGAAACATCTTTTCAAAAAATAGACACTAAAAAAAAATGGGTTGTTTACTCATACCAAATGTCCCCATTCATTGTTTCCGGGTAAATCTCGCACTTGCGATTAATTTCAAATTGATGATCGAAACACCACATGGAAGCATAACTCTTCTCTATGTATGATCCACTTTCATGAAAGATTACAACACATTTAATGTCAGATTAATGTCATCTATTTGTTTAGTGTGATATATATAATCTTGATCTTGAATTTTTTTTAATTGGTGTATACACTCACATCACTTTTGGGTACTTTCATATCTTCTTCTAGGCAAAGTACACTGTAACTCGATCCAACAATGTATCCTTTCTAACATTTACAACAAATATTTTAAGAATATAAAAGTAACATTTGTTATTTTCTTAACAACTTACAGTATTTGACACATTTAGCCTATAGATTATTCTGATAAATTTCGTATTCATTATCGCTAAATAGC